AAAAAAAAAGAAGCTGTCCAGATGACCTGACTGAAAAATGTTGGAAGCTTCTAGATGGATGTGTGTCAGAACTCTGTCTATGATGGAAGACCAGCTTAGATCTTTGTACGCCGTTTATAAAACTGTTTTAAATAAAAAGTCATAGATTTGGTGTTGAAGATGTTTCAGGCTTCAGTTTCAATACTGAGGACAGATTTGAATGTTTGTTGCACTTCAGTGAACTAACTTGTGCCTTTCTTTCTGTTTGTTTGTTGTCAGGTCCATGACCTGGACGAGCAGACGTGGCAGACTGTGGAGGTCGTGCATATAGATATTGCAAACAAGGAAGAAGTGGCTCTTGGAGTAAGTTCACCGGCTCATGTTTAGATCTTGAAAAGGAAAATGAAACACGAAGTGGGAAACACCTGTTGGCCTCAACGTGATGCGGATTGTTTGAGAAAGTTTATTTTAAACTCCGTCAAGCTCTAGGAACAAATGTGCACAATGTGCTGCACTTGAAGTATATGCTGATGATGCTCGACTATGGCACCAGACTGTAGCCCATTTTTGTGTGTGCTAAGGTCGGTGTCTGTGGAGACGAGCTAATCAAAGTAAAAATATGGAGTTAAAACACGACACCTGGGCCAGTTTCAGTCATAACCTTTGAGGAGCTGTACTTGGAGACAGCGTCTTTTTTATACGTGTAGTGTGTGTTGGGGCAGCTGGTACAGAACCTTTAATGATGAACGTGGTTGGATGTAGAGTCCACACATTTTTCTGGACCTTTATTGAGCAGAATATTAAATGTTCTTACACGTAATGGTTTTTAATAAAGGACGGGCTGTCTAAGAAGCCATAAACCAGTTACAGCCACGCTAATGCTCTACACCACCTGCCCATCCATCCACCCACCCATCCATCCATCCACCCATCACCCTGGACAGGTCTCCAGTCCATCACAGGGACACATGGAGACAAATGAGACAAACAACCATTCACTCTCTCACCTAGAGACAATTTAGAGTTACCATCAGACTAACATGCATGTTTTGGGTCTGTGGGAGGAAACTGGAGCACCCGGAGAAAACCCACGCAGCACGGAGAAAACATGCAGACTCCACCCAGAAAGGTCCCGGACCAGGATTTGATCTAGTGTCCTTTTATCCTTTTTATGAACGGAGCCACCATGCTGCCGTATAATTAAGTGCAGAAAATAATTCATTTTATTAACAGTCAGCTACAGTTCACATGTATTTCTGTCTGTGAGTCTTTGTCTTTTAAACTCCAACATTCTATCAGTATTTTAGACATACGTGTGTCACGTTGTTGGACACACCTCTGTGTTTGGATGTGCTCACCCTGAACATCTGGGTGAACTCGCACTCGCCTGATGTGCTGCACACAGATGATTTCTACAACACATGGTCGTTTTTTCAGCAAGGAAACGATGTGCGTGGCCTTGATACAGTTTTATCATTTGTGTACACAGAGAAGTGGAGCAGGAGCTTTCCTTCTTGATCTCCTCTGACCATTCGTCTCTGATTAAAGTGACTCCTCCTCCAGACAAGTCTTTGTCCTCCACAGAGAGCTGCTCCTCATCCCTCGTTTCCAGGTCACGTAGCGACCGAAGCGTAAAATCACCCCGAGTGTTCAGCCGGTGGATCAGCTGATATTAAGCTGCGTGTCTCCACCGGGTGGAAGGCTACGATCAACTCTTAATTCTTCCAGTCAGTTGGCCAACGTCTTTACAGCTCAGCCCAACAAAAGGACAATATACATTAGTAAAAGCAATAAAATAAAAACACGACAGCAAAGTAATTGACTAGAGCTGCCACCATCACCTATTTTTGTGATGTTTATGTGAAGAAATAAGGTTTCTTAGTTTTCTATTTTTAATAAATTTGCAAAAATAACAATCACATGGTCATAATGGGGTATTGTTTGTAGAATTTAGAGATTAATACAATTTGTAATAAGGCTGAGACTGTTGCCCCAGTAGGTACAGAAGCCATCAGGATGTGTTGCTCCTGCTACAGTGACCAAAAATATCTTCTTTTAGCGTTTTACTGAAATACTGCTCCTAAAACAACAACAGGTTGAAAACTGTGAAGCTGGTCGGGCAGCAGTTCTTGTGGGAACACAATTCGACACAAAGGCTCGTCTGACAGACGCAGCACCGACTGGCAGTGTGGAGAGAAACTGTTCTTACTTTGGTTTATCCTGTTAAAATATTAAACGACCGTCATGGAAAACTGTGTCGACTAAAACTGTCCATGCTGATGGATGAATAAAGTGGATTGGCTGTTTTTGAGGATTGCCCGCTCCCCTACAAGGGACCAAGACTGTCAATAAATAAAAATGCATTGGTTTGACAGTATTACATTTATCAAAGCTGATGACCTCTGTCTTGTTTTCATCTAGACTGAACTGTAGTTTGAACCAGGTTTTCTTGTAATGTAGATGGTTTACTTGAACCAGCACCTCCAGACCTGAGGCCGTGGTCCTCAGTCAGAGGTGGATTGTTCTCTTCAGGTCAGGTTCTGCCTCCAGTGGAGGAGTTCAAGTATCTCGGGGTTTTGTTCACGAGTGAGGGAAGAATGGAGCGTGAGACTGACAGATGGATTGTACCGTCTGCGGTATTGTGGACTCTGTGCCGGTCCATTGTGGTGAAGACAGACACTGTCTGTCCAAACTATGATTTATTTATTAGTTTGTTTTTTAACAGGTGTTTTAAAAGTGAGTTTTTGTCTCGTGGTCGGTCAGTAATGCTTCCAGTGTTGTGTTGGCGATGGTTTAAAATGTGACAAGACTCATTAGGACGTTTGAAACGGGCTGAGCCCTCGTCTGTGCCTTTCTTACATTCGCTCCTGGACAATAATGACTTAAGTGGATGAGTGTGGAGGCTACAGTTAAATCTAATTGTCCATCTGCTGCAGGTACTCGCAGCAGACCTGAAACTGAACACGGGGTTCATGATGTTTGCTTTAGGATCATTTACAACATTTTGTTGTGTACCACAGAACACAACAACATGGAGGCAGATATTTAACATAAACTGATCTTTTTAAGCTTTACTCCCCAAGCAGGTTAAAATAAAGTCCCAGCATCCTTTGCAGGGATGAATATCACCTGTGGACTTTCATGTCAGAGCTTATGACCTTTGTTATACAGATGATTTATAGGGTTATTGATCGTCTTATGTTGAGAAGTGACAGAAGTGTTTGTCTGACGCAACCTGCGTTCATCTCAACCAGAACTCACCTCGAGGTTGTCTGGTGGACGACCAAGTGAACTAGACATGGATTAAAGTTCTCCATCCCAGTGACAACATTTCTGTTTGTAAAAATGAGAGGGCGGAAAAGAAACGTGTGTTTTGTTGTGGTCCTCTGAAGCCATCCAATCTAATGATTCAGGGATTAAACTGACGCTGCTTTCAGCCAATTAAAGAAGCAGAGCCACAGTTTGAGCCAATCAGAGCAGGGCGGGGCGGGGCCTACAATTATGAGGCGGGGTGATGATTACATTGAAACTAATGTTCTTTATAAAGTAGCTGTAAAACTGATAGTTTTAACATTTGAGTGTTGAGAAGTATGGCAACGTGTTGGAGCCATGTTTGAAGTTTTTGTTGTTGTGTGGTTCTTCCAGGACTACAAGCCAGAAGAAGATCCAGCTCTTTTCCACTCAGCTAAGACCAGCAGAGGACCTCTGGGTCCTGAATGGAAGGTACCTGACCTGAAAGCAAAGCGTCCCCTCATCCTTACCTTCAGACACTCTGATGAATTCTCCTGTTCTTGCAGAACGAGCTGAAGTCAGACTGTCCTTACATGTGCGCTTACAAACTGGTCACAGTCAAGTTCAGGTGGTGGGGTCTGCAAACTAAAGTGGAAAACTTTATCCACAGGGTAAATGTACACGCTTTGCTTTTTCTATTAACAAAGCTCTGCTCCTCCTTTTGACATCAGCGAGAACAGGAAGAGTTAAGAGAATATTCAAGTTGTAACTGAACGCATGGAGTGTTGGCGCCGAGGTCAGAGGGCGAGCCCGAGATCAGAACGTCGCTGGTTTGAATCCCCTGGACCGTTGAGTCAAGGACTTCAGGGCCAAAATAAATTAAAATATAAATTATATTCCTTCTAAATTTTATTTTGAAATGTAGACTGAAAGCATCAGAGCCCTAAAGTTTTTGTTGTTGTTCTAAATAAACTATCGCTCTCGTTTCCACAGCAAGAAAAGCGTATTTTCACCAACTTTCACCGTCAGTTGTTCTGCTGGATCGATAAATGGGTCGGTTTGACTATGGAGGACATCCGGCGGATGGAGGAGGAAACTCAGAAAGAGCTTGAGGAGGTAACTGTTGCTCCCCCCTGGAACTGAAACATGTCTCGTTCTTCTTGTTGGTGTCGGGTAACATTCACCAGCACTTTATTAGGTCCACCTGTTCTCCACTTTTATTTTCATTTCACCTGGTGAAATGTTCGAGAACCAGTTCTCCTTTAGAAACATGACCTGCTCAAGACACTTCAGCATGAAATGGGTACATAGATACATTATATCAGTACACTGAACAGAAATATGTATAAAAGACAAATATAAGGATAAACATGTTTGTGTACAGAATGTTGAAATATGTATTTAAAAAGTATTTTTGTAAAAGATTAAATGAATTGGCCCAAATGCTTCCAAGAATAATCAACAAGCACAGTTGAAGCTTAAAATTAGTGAGAGATTTCAAAGTTGTGAGTTTAGGAGTGTTGTGTAAGTTGTTCCAGTCATCTGCTGCAGCCAAACAAAAAGAGTTATGGTAAAAAGTAGCAGTAGTGCTGATGTAGTCCTTTCATCTAGTACAATCATTATACTGGACACTGTGAAGAAGAGATGAGGGTAACGTGTTTTACTCAGGATTGTTTTGTAATGAGGGAAAAATGGAGCGTGAGATCGATAGGCGGATAGGTGCAGCGTCTGCAGTGAAGCGGGCGCTGTACAGGTCTGTCGTGGTGAAGAGAGAGCTGAGTCAAAAGGTGAAGCTCTCAATTTACAGATCGATCTACGTTCCCACCCTCATCTATGGTCACGAGCTTTGGGTTGTGACCGAAAGAATGAGATCTCGGATACAAGCGGCCGAAATGAGTTTTCTCCGCAGGGTGTCTGGGCTCTCCCTTAGAGACAGGGTGAGAAGCTCGATCATCTGGGAGGGACTCGGAGTAGAGCCGCTGCTTCTCCACGTCGAGAGGAGCCAGTTGAGGTGGCTCGGACATCTGTTTAGGATGCCTCCTGGACGCCTCCCTGGTGAGGTGTTCCGGACACGTCCCACCGGAAGGAGGCCCAGAGGAAGACCCAGGACACGCTGGAGGGATTATGTTTCTCAGCTGGCCTGGGAACGCCTCGGGATTCCCCCGGAAGAGCTGGCCCAAGTGGCTGGGGAGAGGGAAGACTGGGCCTCCCTACTTAGGCTGCTACCCCCACGACCCGACCCCGGATAAGCGGAAGAAAATGGATGGATGGATGGATGGATGGATGGATGGATGTTTTGTAGACAAAGTGAAGCCAAAGATGGGGCTGCCGGGTTTGAAGGGAAGGTCAACCCATCAGTTATGGAGGTCACAGAAGTGAGTGTGGAAAACGAATGGCCGAGTGATAAAGGGTGTCCAGTTTTTGGAGAGCAGTGCGTGATGCAGTTTTGTAGATGATGTCACTGTAGTCCAGAACTCGAAGTTCTGTCAAGAGCTGGCAGCGTTGCAAACGATGAAAGATAGTCTGGCTTTAACTTTTTTCTCTGAAGATTATTGATAAGAGAGTAGAAGACAGAGGAGTCCAACCAGATCCCAGGATATTAATATGATTTCACAAAATCCAAGGCTGACTCGTCTGCACAGCTGAACTTTGGTGGACTTGAGACAATATATTCCTGATCAAAAATAATACATTTGGTCTTTTTGGAATTTAGACAGAGATGAAGGTTATTAAAGGATTGCTCTTCTGAGTTGAGTCTAAGTTGGAGAGTTGATGTTGCAGAATGGAGGGAAGGGCCACGTGAGTTTAAGATGGTATCATCGGCATATAGATGGATTTTGGAATTAGCAGATTTAACTACATCACTAATGTAGATGGAGAATAAGTGTGGGTCCAAGATGGAAACCCTGAGGCACACCAGTGAAAATGATGAGTGATTCTGAATAGTATTTTAATTTTATCCAGATTGATGGCAAACCAGTCACAACAGGTGATGTACAAACCAATGCTAGAGGGCTGGAGTTCAACAGTCTTATGATTTCTGCTAGACTGTATCTGGGGGGGTTCATCACAAACCAATTTAAATTTCCCAGAAGAAGAAATTCAGAGGAGGTATGTGGAGTTTACTAAGAGCTTGTAGTGAAAAAGCTGGGGCAGAGGGTGTTCTGTAGCAGACATCAGCAGAGAGAAAGAAACTTGTTGAAAATGTAAGTTTTACCATAAAAACTTAAATTACTTCAGGACTGACTCAGAACAGTCCAGATGGTCTAAAACATACAAAGCAGCACTTCCTCCCCTGATGCCTCTGTCCTGGTGAAATTCATTACAGTCTGGTATTAAACTTCTCTTAAGCAAGGATTCAGAGACAGCTGGGACGCCAGGAGTGGGCGGGACGTATCAGTGTTTTTAAATTAGCAAAATGCTTAGTATTTAACAGACTAAACACATGTACGTTGTTAAAAAATATATATTTCTGACCACAAAAATTTACTAAATGACAAGTGGGTAGTAATGGGATTAAGTAAGGTAGGCCTAGGGATAACTAAGTATGATTGACATGCACTTAAGAGCAATACTAAAACAATGTTGGTTGACAAATAATGAGTCGAAGAGCAACTGCAACAACTTAGATGCATAAGATGAAATCCCTGGGTTATAGGAGGTCCTGCAGTTTCAGTGATCCAGTCAGATGAAGTATCCCTGGGAAGTAGAGTGAAGTATAAAGTACTGCCACTGTGGACACCATGACAGTCCCGAGTGGGAGCTTGGTGAATAGCCCACAAGTCCCAGACTGGGTGTGCTGCAAAACAACAAACAGGACAGTCCAGAGAACTGGGCCTGCTCAGAGATCCCAGACTCACTTGAGTCTATACTTGTTACACAGAAAGCTCGTCAGCCAATCACATGGCAGTAACTCAATGATTTTAGGCACGTAGAAGAGGACTTCCAGACTGGGCACCAAAATGGAAGAGAGGGGATTTAAGTGACTTAATGCGGGCGCTGTGCTTGTCGGTTGTACTGGGACTTTGGTCCATGCAGGAATTGAGTTATCGAGCAGTTGAACTGGTGGACCTAATGAAGTGGCCGTTCCTGTTTATGTCCTTTGCACATTGATATATTTCTGAATGTTTCAATAACTTGACCAGAGTGCAGGAGACGAGGCTGCACACTGACCTGATTTAACTCCGATTCACTCCTGAATCTCACATCAGATGCGTCAGAAAGGTGACGTTCGAGGCACCTCTGCAACAGACGAGTAGAGGCACGGCGCTGTAGGAGAGAAACTAGAGGCAGGCTGAGTAAGTTTCTGCACCGGAGGAGTGCTGCTGCTGCTGCATGGATCATTCTGCACGCTTTGCCTCTGACTGGTGTCCAACGTGTCCACGCATTTTGTTTTGGAACGTCTTTTTGTTTGTTTGTTTTGTCCAATCATTCATCTGCTTCTCTTAGACCCTTTTGTTTAATTATGGATCCACTAACTCAGAGCACCCCCCAGCAGGTGAGGGGCTCTGTAAAAATGTCTGACAAGTGCCTGCAACTTCCCCCGAAGAGGTGCGATGGATGAGTCCGGTCTCTAATCTCGTCCAACAGAACTCAGCGGTGCCACATGTGCACGGTGCTCCCACGTTTGACACAACTTTGAAAATGTATTTAAAATTTCGAGATTTTTCAGGTTTTGTCAGGAGCAGTCGTGTTCACAACACCCAAACATTAAAACACAAACGAAATAAGTGCAGCTGATCCCCCCCCCCCCCCCCCCCCCGAGACCTTCCACGTGTTGATCAGCGTTCGATCCAGGCCCATGCAGCGATACGATGTTGGTTTGATTCTACAAAATGACAAACGTCTTGTTTTAAGATTACTAAACATTCAACGATACACAAAAATGAGACCTTGTGCAAAATGAATAAACCAGCAGCTGATGTGTTGACCACTCTTTGAACAACTCAACAATTAGCAGCAACTTCAAAAGTCTTTCTGTAATGGGTCCATGAATCAGGTGAAGCACACGTTCAGTTTGTTGCTGTTTTTACTGGAGCCGCTGCAGCTCTGCAGGCGCCGCCAACCAAAACAAACAGAAACAAAACTCTGGGTGTTACTGGTTCAAAAACATAAATCACCGATGTAGCTAGATTTATCAGCCAAACTGCGTCACTGATGCGGTCGCATCGTTCATGAGTGCGTCTTTGAATCGGTTCGAACGGGTCAATCTACGCAGCCCGGTCTGAGCGGGCTCGTTGATCCTTCAAGGCTCTAACGGTCCATGTGAACGTGTCTCCAGGCCAAAAGAACCTGGAGAAGTGATGTGTTTGAAAACATTGGTGATCCATAAATGAAGAACTGGGTCTTTTTACGTTGACGCATTTTCCTGTCTACTCATTTTTTTACATTTTCTTCCAGCTCCTGCTGCTCTCTCACCTTTTCCTTAAATGTTTCTTCTCCGTTCAGTTTGTTTTTGTGGTTTTTTTTGGTGTGGGTATGAAGCTCCAGCTGGACTACATGTACCTCACTCATTGTTTCAGCTAGCATCTCACCAGGCTGCGACTGCTTTAGATGAACTGCAGAAAGTCGGGCAGTTTTCTGTTGCAAACAACCCTTCAACATGCAGGAGCTCCTCACTGTCATGATGGACATGGAGTCATGATGGACATGGAGTCATGATGACCGTGGAGTCATGATGGACGTGGAGTCATGATGGACGTGGAGTCATGA